CAGGACACCATCACTTTTCCCTTTCTTCCTTCCACAATGCAGATAGCGGATTTTTTTACAAAGTCTCATACTATAGCACGTTTTAGATTTCTTCTTGACAAACTTTTGATGTTTTCTACCACATCATGAGTTTGAGAGAGGGTGCTAGAGTATTAATACTAAGAGTAGTTTAGGCATTTTCTTTTTATTGTGTTGCCCTACTATATAAGACTTACTTTGTGTATTTCTAGTTTTGTGAAGTGTATTACAAACCTCCTTTTAGTCTAATATATTTTCTCTTTCTTTTCTCTATGATCAATTTTATCAATCACGTCATCTAAATGAAAAGATGTTAGTCTTTATAAAATTATACTTGAGTTTGTATTTTTGTTATTTCTTTCTTAATGTATAATAAATCGTTCCTTCAAGCCACAATGAAAAATGCAGGATATTTAGCCAACAAATTGTTATTGTCTTCTTATTAGTGAAGGTAAACTAAAATAGAAAAAAGTTCATGTTGATTCAAACATGTAAACTTAGAAAATTATTTTCAACATTCTATTGAAAAATAAACATTTAATGAAAAACAAAAAAACATAGCATTTATTGAAGAGTAAGAAGAAGTAGAGTAGGGTTTGATAGATGTTTTTGAAGAAAAAGAAGAAGTATTCCTAGAGTGGAGGAGATGTCGTCTTTGTGTGATGTTCACGGACGCTTGAACAGTCGCTTGAGATGTAAAGACACGAATAGGAGACATAGAGAGAAACACGAGTTTCATATTTGAGAATGGACTTCTTTTAGCAAAACAACGTCATTTTAACTATCTAACAGTCAAAGGGATGTTATTTTACTACAAATAGGGTAAAAAATAATGATAAAACGAATCGGATGATTTCTTCGATTCGATTCGAATCGAATCGTGCAATTCAAGTGTAATTTTTGCCCAAAAACAATTCTAAGTAAGATACAAACCGAATGAGGATTAAATCAAATTGTGAATCATACAATTTTGATAACAATGTGTGTACGAGTTAGTTGCATGGTCAAGCAAATAATAAGATGCAAATTTATGTCTCAAGCTTGAATCAATTAGTCGTGCAAAACCCATGTTTTAATGATATCTGTGGTTTGCAAGTAATTGTGTGCATCAAGATTTTACGGTACTATCACTAGTCCAAAAGGGGCACTGTTGGTGATTTGTAGGGTCGGTCCAACGTCTAGACAACTAAGTTGCTTGCCTAGGGCCCTTAAAATATTTATCCTTTTAGTATAGTTGACTTAATTTTTTTTTTTATATTTTAGATATAATTTAAATTTTTAGGGCCTAAATTTAAAAATTTTAAATCAAAATCTAATTTTATTAGATTCAAAATTACTCTCTACTTGGTTAAGCCCAAATTTTATAGGGCCTCCATAAAATTTACCCCTTTAGTATAATGTCTTTTTTATTTATTTTTTCTATTTTAGATGTCATTTAAATTTTTAGGGCCCGAGTTTTAATAGTTCAAATTAATATCTAATTTTTTTAGGTCTAAATTATTCTTTTGTGTGAGCTTTGATTTAAGTTTTTCTAACTCTTTTAGGTGTGTTTATAGTTGTATTCCACTCACTCACATAGAAAATTTATATATATTATTTCTTGTGGTGAAAATTTATAAAATTAATTTCTGTTTTGTCTTAATATGAATTGGATTAAATTGTCTCTGCTATCAAAGTTTTGTATTTCATGTGTGCACATAACTTACGGGTAAAAATTGATTCTTTATTATCTTAAATTTATTCTTTGCTCACATATTTTATTATTAAATTATTTATTCAAAACTTAAATTGATAAAATATCATTTACTACCAACTAAAATCGAATAAATTAACTATATTATCTATTGAAAAAGATTTATTGTCAAAATTTGAATATAAAAACTTAATCTATATTTTTTTATTTTAGAAAATAAAAATAAATAATTTTTAAATTAAAAAAATTATAATAATTAAAAAATATAATATATTAATAGACAAAATAATAATAGAACCTCGTATAAAATTTTTGGCTAGGGCCGGCTTTACCTTGGACCAGCCCTGGTGGTTTGCGTATTTGCTTATTGCTCTGGTAATTGATAAAACACAACTGAAGGCGTGTTCAGCCTACAACCCCATTCTGATTCAAGGCTAGAAATTACAAGTAACGTGTGCATTATTACACACACGACGTAGGAAGTGTCTAGTGTCTACTGTATCAATTTCCTGCATGCCTTTGGAATGGCAATTTTTGCTAATGTGGCAAAATATTTTTATTCATTTTTTTTGTTGGGTATTCAGGTCAGTTTATGCGTATCTTGACTAATTTTCTCTCCGATCTGGTCAAAAACAGAAATTTCTCGTGACTTAACCCAAAAACTTGTCAAAGTTCAAATTTAGGATGTTTGAACTTAGAGCTTGTCCCTGTTATTAAACGAGAAGGAAGAGCGGTGAACATATCAGCATCTTGAAGGTGAGCCATTTATGAAGTTTGTAATGTATCATC